CTTTGTACAAGTGATACGTATCATTAGAGAGTACGTACGTTAAATAAATAATAAATAAAGCAATTTTGTAATATTACAAAAATACGTATCACTTATTGCGAATTCGATTGGAAGAACTAGTGCGCACTGGTGCATGTTAAAACCGTTGTACACTGATTTAATTTGAGTATAAAAGTAAAATGCAAATATTTCGAATTATAAAATACATATGTTAACTAATAATACAATAAAATGTATTGAATATTTCAGGATTTAATCGATTTCTATGTTTATGTATAAATATATCTTTACGTTATTTTGTGTATGATGGCTTTAATGTGCACCATTGCGCACTGAGTGTGTCCAATCGAATTCGCTATTAATTTTCACCATAAATTAATTCACTTGGAATTTGGATTTCATATTTTAATTTTATACAACAGAATTTTGTTCAAGGTTCATATATGGTTTAGATTGAGTGAGATAACAATTTTTAATTATAATTTAGTGCCAATTATTAATATCAAATCCTTTATATACCTGATACATATCATTCAAATTAAGTATTTAGAATTTTTTATTTTAACTTAATAGCAAATATACAAAAATATGTACCCATGTTTTATTTTTACCTAGGTTTTATTTTTTTAATTAGAGATACTATTATTTAAATTGTAATTCTTAATTTAGTACACCATTTTATTTGTTTGACGTATATCTGTAGTTGATTCACAATTGACACCTACCTATATTTACAGCGCTTTTTTACCTTTTTTTAAAAAGGTAAATTTACGTTGATATCATGCATTTTGTAGTGTTTAACGTCTTCTTATAAACAGTATATGAATTAATCAATTTAGTACACATTTTTTTCCAAAGAATATGCATTCTTAGTGCCTTTTTTCATCTTTTTTAAAAAGGTAAGATTTGTAAGTTTTACGGAGTGTTTCAGACAAAAGTTATAGGATTCAAAGAGATCTATTTACTGATTTTATCACTTTGATGATTTGGGTAGTGTCGCCAACATTAAAGTCACGATTTTTTTTAATTTAACACATTATTTTTTATTTCAGAATCTAATAGTTGGTGTTGAGAGCTTTCCAAAACACTACAATTAAATATAGATTAATAGAATGATTCAATTGAAATAAATCAAATATAAGTAATCACAAGGACTATGATCAATAACTATTATCAATTAAAATTAATAACTTTTAATAATTAAAACTAATAGCATTTCTCTTGGGATACTGAGTATAACCTCGCATTACAGTTGCATGTAAGTGCTGCATCAGTGTTGCACTACACAAGTGTACATACACCATGGTATACACTATTTCATGCTATCATCTTTAATTCTACTGCCGGTTGACTTCCATTTTTAAATTTTTAATGTCACACTGGCTCTACACCATTTCTTTGAGATCGTGTAGCAAAACCCCACTTCGTGCATAAAATTTACATTATAGCCACGGAGAAACACATTACACTGATGAATGAGTTTGCCTACCATCAGTTAAGGAAACACGTTACATTGTTTGAGTGTTGCACTGGTAGGCGATAATGCAGCTAAGAGAAAACGCTATAAATTAGTACAAACTAAAAAGTACAAACATTTCGATGCCGATCATCATTCTCAATGTTAAAATAATGTTACAATAAAAGTCGGATTCTCATATTACAAAAACAGTTTTCTGTACGTTCTGAAGTAGATTTTAAAAAATGTAGATACGTATCAAATGCTTATATCTTCCTTCTTTGTTACGAATATGTGATCCATTGAAATATTAAATGTGAAACGTTGAAATCGCTCAATATAATTGGAACGGTAATAGAACTTGCATTTTTCTTCTATGAAAAGCAATTTATTCAAAAGAAAGTTTTCAAAAAAACCAGTTGTTAAGTACAAAATGTACAATTAATAAATAATTACAATGTCTAAAAGAAACAACTAACAGTAACAAGTAGGAGAAGAGATTTAAACGTATAATATTAGGTATTGGAATTAATTCGTAGCGTTTTACAAGTGATGGGAAGTACTTTCATTAATGTATTTTTTAATGCTCATGTGAAATAAATAACATTCTTTCATTAAAAAACGCTACGAATTAATTCCAACACCTAATATATAAAATAACCGTTAGAGTTTTGTTAACATTAATATCGATTACACATTAACATATCAATAAATCAGTGCATATTAAAATACTAAACTATATATACCTTTTTCAGTCGAACTGTTGTGAGTCAAAAATTAAAAAAGTAATGCAATGGATATTATAATTTTATAAACCCTTGTGCTGTATCAGAAACAGAGAAACGTGTAGCATTGTGACAATATTAGACAACGTTATGAGTTAAAAAGGAGACAAATAGATGGAGACAATAATAGGTGGAAGGGGAAAGAGAATATATGATGTTAAAATATGGCAGAAATTCAGTATCATTTTGCTTGTTAATTCCGTGTTTCTATCTTTTTATATGGACTATTTCCGATATTAATTTCTTGTTATAAGAGGATTTAATGTCCAAAATTTCCACGTTATTTCACTTAAAATTGTGATTATGATCAATGCGGTGATTGGAAATCACCGATGACGATTTAGAGACTTTCTATTAATATCGGAAACATGTTCCTGTAATCTTGTCTTTAGCTGTCTTTTTGTTTGACCCACGTAATTAGCATCGCAATTATCACAAAAGAATCTTATGAACCACGTTTTGATTGCATAATCCATCCAACTCATCTTTTCCTTTTTTTATGAAATTTTTAAGCGAATTCGAAATAGAATAGATTAATTTGCATCCGACTTTTATTATAACATTATTTTAACATTGAGAATAACCCGAGCGTCGTAACGTTTGTACTTTTTATGAATTTTAAATATTAAGTGTTATTAATTTTAATTGTCTCATAGCACTTGATTACTTATATTTGATCCACTACAATTATTGTAAGTTTTTTTAATAAAATATTTTCCGAGTTATAACGCCTGAAAGTCACAGTACCGCTATCATTAGACAAGTTGTACCGTTTTAAACAAGTTGTCGGACCGACGGCTAATAATCTCTTGAATGTTATTTAAGATCATGTCCTAGATAACCTACGTTAACTTTAAATCATCTAACTTTTTAGCTAACTAAGCCGCTAACTTTTTAGCCAACCACTTTTGGATTCAACATACCCTATTTTTCACATTGCTGTAACTTTTTTATAATATAATTTGAAGGCTTGGATTGAGGCTAACAAAACTTTAAACTTTTAACTGTCTATAGATATGATAAGCTTGCAAGGGTATTATTTTTTTTGAGTTATTCTCGATGTGAGAATGCATGAAAGTTTAAAGAGGGTACGTGGGACTCACACGTAATTAGCTTGTAAGTTTTTTTGGTGTTCTATATTTAATAAAAAAACCCCTTTTTAAAATTAAATATACGCTTACTGTGAGTTTTGAATAGTATTATATGAAAGTAAATACACAAGAATGTAGAATTAAAAAAAATTATTTCAATATAATAAATAGTCGAAATTTTATAATTTCTGTCAATCTTCGGAGATCGCTCGGCCAGGACGGATGTATTGCATCCTCTAAACTAAATCTTAATAAACTTAATTATGTATACTATAATAATATTTATATAATCATTTATCTACCAGTTTATATTCAAATAATAAAATTTTATTTATTTAAGTGTAAACTTATAATATGTTTTTAAAAATGTTAATTTTCGATAGTTTAAATAATTATACTTTTTTGAGCGATTCATGTCGTACTATTTTTTTTTGTTAATCCAAAGGGTCAACTAAAAAAATCCTCTGGATTTTTGCTTGAACATTAAATTTAAAAATTTGAGAATTTTTTATCCAAAATAGTCATTTTTTGCGAATATTTTAAATAAAATTTCTTTGAAGCATTGTTAATTAAAAATAAAATATTGTTTGATTCATATTTATTTGTCTTTGTCTAATTTGAGATACAAATTTCGCACGTCTTGAGCTAAAAAATATTCAGTTCAGAGATGTAGAGTGATAGTTGCAGGATTTCATAGACCTTGTTGTGACCGGGATGGTAATCAAAAATAACAATGGCGTGCTAGGGTTAAGATCAAGGTCATTGGAGATTGTTTCTCTTATTTTCATTTTTTTATATAAAAATGAATTTTCAATGCGAAAATGAAAATAAGAGAAACAATCTCCAATGACACTGATCTTAACAAATGTTATCTAGAACATGATCCTGAACAACATTCAAGAGATTTTAGTCATTGATCGAATGCTAATGCCGGCGGTATTGAAATTTTCAAGCATTATAATTCAAAAAGTACTTAATGAAAAAATATTTCCTTATAGCGTTTTTTTTGAAAGTTCTCGACATCAGCTATCGGGTTCTGAAATAAAAAATGGAGTGTTCCATTTAAAAAAAATCGATGTTACCTTGACCTGATTTTAGCGACGCCACCTAAGGTCAAATTGATAAGATTACTATATAGATCTTTTTAATGCTATAATTTTTGTCCGAAACACTTCTGTAAAACGTATATTTTTCGAGATATTAAGGTATGCCAATCATTTTGAGATATGTGATATCCTGTATATATGTGAGTCCAGAACTTAATATAGTATATGTATTACAATCATTTTTTAGAAGAAGTATATGCAAAATTGTGTTAGATTGTGTAATTTTATGTAACCTGCTTCTGAAAATGAGAAATATTGATAATTTCCGATTTACAAAATCTATTTGTGTCACAATTCATATGTGGTTAGATATGTTTCATTGCATGTTTTTATCATAAATAATATATTTTCACATTTATAAATGATAGTGGGATAAATGTATTATTTTAAAATTATTTTATTGTTCAAAATTATTTTATTGTGCTATCAAAGCGATTCTTTGTTTTGAAATTTATTGTTATAATATTATTATAATAGAAAATAATAAAAAAAGACGCGAATAAATCGTATTCGTTGAACTGATTGGCACATTGATTAATCGGCATTGCTTTATCATTTACAGGTTCTAAAAAAAGTGCAGAAGGAGTTGCTCGCATATGGAAACACGCAAATCAGCATTTTAGAGTTAAGTCATCGATCGAATGATTTTAAGAAAATTATTGATGATGCGCAGGCCACTTTGCGAGACATCCTGTGAGTCAAAAATTCAAATTACTCGATAAACAAATCACTTATTTTAAAAGATGATATGGAAAATCGTTGTCAACAAAATTATAAATTAGTATAAAATATATTGATAAATTCCCCCCCTCCCCCTCCCCCTCTCCTTCTTTTCCCCTGCCTCCCTTTCCCTTTCTTCCCCATTTCCCCTCCCTCTCCCTTCCTCTCCTCCTCCCTCCTTCTCTTTCTCTCTTCCTCTCCCTTTCTCTCTCCTCTCCCCTCCTCTTGCTATCTCTCCTCTTTCTCCCCCTCTCCCAATCCCTCTCCTCACCTCTCTCTTCCCCCTTCTCTCTTTCTTCCCTCTCTCATATGCTATATGTATACTTTACAAGACATTCGAAACTTATAAAGCCATAAAATTCTTTAATTTAAACTTTAATATAAGCTTTTTATATTATAATGCTCAACAAAATAATTCTATATAAATTAGATTAAAACCGAGCAACAATCAAACATTCGCAGATATTTTTATTATAAATTATTACAAAATTAGGTGGAACTAGTTTCAACTCTATTGTAGTCTTCTTTAACCACTAAAACATTACAATTACCTACATAATAGTCCTTTGTTTTGAAGTCACAAATGGATACCATTATGAATCCTTTTTTTTTATTTACCGTCACATTTCTTATTTTTTAATTTATTGGATGTACAATCGTGTTTATAACTAAACATTCTGAGACTTTCCCTCTGTCCGCAATCGCGAACCTTCACATAATAGAATGTCATTACTGTGAATCAGATGAATATAACTATTGGGATCTTAAGTCATACGTTCAACATGGCTGCCTTAATAAGGATAACACTGATAGGTTAATCTGTATTCGAATTCGAACACACGGCGTTGATAATCTTGAAAAAAGGATTGCACACTGCAATAGATATTTATTAGCACGGAAAACTTTCAAATGTGTTTTGTGTGTATCGTTCTTAAGCTAATTGTTATTGTGGCTCTGCCGTTTTGCTTAAATAGTCTTCAAAAAACGATACTAATTTGATCATTATTGATAAAAAGCTACATATCTGAGAAAATAAAACTCTTTCATCGGAAGCTCGATTTCGCAGTACAGTTGATATTTTATATTCATAAAATGAATGATGAGTTAGGAGCGAGATTTTTTCGCCGAAAGCAACGAAAAGTAAAACGTATTACAGTGTATATGATTGCAATAGCTTTGCTTTAAATGGTTCAACTGTTCGCTTTTATTATTTTCCTAAACCAGGACAAACAATTACAATAGAAAATGCATTTAGTAATTTAAAAAAAAGAGATATTCGAAAGGTGTTAAAAATGGAAACGATTGCGAAGTCGCCTGTTGTATGCAGTTTGCATTAAAGAAAAACCGATTACAGATTTCCTGGTAAGTACATATAATTTGTAAAAAAATTGTCACCATTAAATAAAAATATAATGTTATCCAATCTGTTATTTATGATAAAGTAATAATAAATGCATTTTATAGACAACTCAAAACCGAATTCTAAAATCAGAGGCTGTGCCATCATGTAACCTTCCTACGGTTAAAAGTAATTTAAAGCAGAAATTAATAGTAAGTGAAGAACGACAAAAAAGAAGATACAAAAGAAAACAAAAAGAGAAGAACTGGAAGGTCAAAAAGAAAATACAATAGAGAAGAATCTCATTGCAGAGAAATACCAAGATTATCATAATGAGCAAATGGAAATTCGGAGTTATGTAGAAAAGCAAAAAAACTTCTGTGATGTTGCTGTCCAAATAAATAGTTTGATAGAAACATTGTGTTACTGTATACGAACGGAGAAGGATTTGAGTACGATGTGCGGTATTGAAAGATTTTTATTATTAAACACTATTGTTGAAATTTTGAACGAAGTATATCCAAATTCTTACTTAACGTATGATTATCGTACTAAAGTTATTAACTTTTGTTAAATTGAAGATGAATTTATTATGCAACTTTATCTTATTCAATGGTTTCTACTATACAAATACGACATATATTGTGCATTTTCCTTCTAAAGAAAAAATTCAGAAAAACATTCCAATTTGCTTTGTAGACTTCCCTGATGTTAGAGTGATTTTAGATTGCACAGAAATTCCAATTCAGAAAAAGAAAAATATTTGTACAAACAATAACATATTCAAATTATAAATCGACATACACAGTAAAATTTATGACAGGAGTAATTGCAGCTCGTCTTAGTTTTATTAGTCATGCTTATAGTGGCAAAACATAATCTGATAAAGTGATTTTTGAACAAAATAATCTTATTAATTTTTTACAAAGAGACTATTATGATAGACAGAGATGCTATTATGATAGACAAAGGCTTCCTTATAGATAATATTTGTTTACAAAATGGTATAAAACTAATCAGACCAGCATTTTTGAGGAACAAAAAACAATTTTCAAAGGAAGAGGCTCTTTTAAACACTAAAATAACGAAAGCTCGTGTACATATATAGAAAAGGCAAATCAAAAATTCAAGATAAAATGAAAAACATTCAAGATATTGAGTGATAAAAGTGCCAAGATCTTATTTCTAAAATTGAAATTTTAAATTATTTTTAATTATTTCAGCGATAGTAAATCTAAGTTCTTCAATCTTTAAAGATGACAAATTTGTATCTTAATTTGTTATTTATGTATGCGATATTAAGATAATCTTTTTATATTTAATTACTTATGTTGTATGTATACAAGTTTTATAATAAAAGAAACATTTTACATTCTAAGGATATTTTGTAAATATATTTAATAAATATAACAATATAAATTTATGAATATATTAAATTTATCTTTAATTATCTTCTCCTCTAAAATTTATACTGTTTTGCCAGCCTTCATAGTTTGCGAATTTTTTAAATATTTAGACAATATCAATAGTTTTAATTTTTTTCAACAAGGAGAATAGATAGGAAAATTCTATGGTTGAGGAAAAAAGATTTGAAAAATAAAAGATTAAATATTAAGCCAATTTCTTATGTTTGTGCTTCTAATAAGGACTTACAAAATAAAATTATATCTAAGGAAACTCTTAATAACAAGTCTTTACAATTTATAGAAAAAATACATATTTCGGTTGAACTGTTTGGGGAAACGACTCCTCTAGATTCTTTAAATAAAAAATGATTCCTTAATTTGAGCAATGTTGACATTTCTATGGAAGTCCAGTATCTGCTACAGTTAGGGGAGGCTTTGGCCTTCCTATTACTAAACACAATATTAGAACATTAATTGAGTTCATTAAAAATGTTGAAAATAATATTATTGGTCGTCGGAACAATATAATAAATTTTGTTAGAAACAATACTGTTTCACTTCTTGAGAAGTTTCAGAATGATTTTCCCAGGACAGGTTCTAATGATAAATTATTTGATTGGATTAAGACAACAAAAAAATTTGTTAAAGTCATCCTGAAATATTAATTTTTAAAGCAGATAAAGAAAATGTTACTGTTGCTCAAAATAAACTAGATTATATCCAAGATGGAATTGATACTTTTAGACAATAATACATACGAGATAATAACTGAAAATCCTACAAAAAAACTTATGAGCAATTTGCGTAACATGCTTAGTAGATGGAAAGGAAAAGGGTTTATAGATGACTTGACATATCATACATAGAGGTTGCGTATGACTGACGGAATCATTCCTAGAGCATACGGTTTAATGAAGATTCATAAACAAAACTATCTTCTTAGAATTATTGTTTCATCTATAAATAGTCCACTATATGTATAATCTATCATTGTTTCTGCATAACATCATTAATGATTCTATACCAGAAACTCCTAGTTTTATAAAGAATAGTTTTGATCTAATTAATAAACTTAAAGATGTTAAACTAGAACCAGATTCTATGTTGGTTTCCTTAGGTGTGGTATTCCTATTTACTAATGTACATATAGATTTGGCATCTTATTGTTTATTGTGATAGTGTTGTTGGAAGGTGGAATTCCATATCCAAGAAAACTAAAATTCTTTTAAATGAATTTTTGATTGCCTTTCGGATGGTTTTTAATTCTACTGCTTTTATCTTTAATAAAACAATGTACAAACAAATATTTGGGACCTCTATGGGACCTTTGTCACCTGTCGTTGCAAATATGGTTATGCAGGACTTTGAAAAAATGACTATTGGAATGCTGCCCTTTCGGTTGTTATTTTATTATCGATACATTGACAATATTATCTTGGCTGCTCCGTCTGAGAGTGTTGGTGATATTTTAGGTATTTTTAATTCGTTGCATACTAGACTGTAGTTCACTGTGGAGGTTGGCATTGATGGAAAAATAAGTTTTTTTGGATAAGTTTTGTTGATTATTGAAGAACGGAATCTTATTTTCGATGTATATCGTAAAACAATCTTTTCCGGTAGATTCCTTAATTTCTATTCACACCATCCACTTTGTCATAAAAGAGGTGTAATTTATGGAGTTGTGGATAAGATTTTTTGGTTGTGTCCGAAGTTCCAACAAAACAATTTGATCGACTATTAATATTTTTTTACAGAATGGATATCCTTTACGTTTTCTCGACTATTCATAATAGAATTAAATATCATATTAACAGTATTAATAGTTTGAGTAATAACAAGGATGACACAAAAAGATTTTTTACTATTCCATATGTCAATACAATATCTGAAAGATATTCACACCTATCGTTAATATGTTTAATTTTATATTGGCCACCGTTATTGGCTATTCCTAACACATTAAAAAATTTCATAAAGAGAGGAAAGGATGAGTTGAAACACTTTCATAGTCAAAATGTAGTTTACAGAATATCTTGTGAGGATTGTGATGTTAGTTACGTTGGCCAGACAAAAAGACAATTAAAGACTAGACTGCATGAACATGTTTCAGATATTAATACATGTTCAAAATCTCTTTCATCACCGTTGATCTCCAACCACCGTATTGAGGACACCGTATTGAGAAATCACAACTTTAAATAGGATAAAGTGGACATAATAAGTCAGATATAGAGTAAATACAATAAAAAGTTAATCATACAATAAAAAGTTAATATCTGTGGTCCATATTAAAAAACAGAAACATGGAATAAACAGACAAAACGACAGAGCTTTGCCTGAATTGTATTCTAACATTATACACTCTCTTTCTCCCTCTTAATATCTTCTTTCCTTTTTTCCCCTATTTTGACGTTTTTCCGTTCTCGATAAATATTTTCCTTCTCAATTTCGTTATCTGACATCGTGAAAGTTAGATGTTCGTTACTTTTGCAAATTTGCTTAAAATAAAAAAATCAATATATGTACCACGATATTGATTATCATCTACCTGCGTTTTTTTCTCTCTTTTGATTTATGAACTCTCAACATATTTACTGATATCACTGACAAGGTACATTATTATATTACTAATTTGTATGTATTAAATGTTAATTTCTTTTTGTTCACGGTCACTTTTTCAGAATTTTTTTATGATTACTTTGATTTTTGATAAAAATGACTTGTAGCGTACTACACGGAATGATGAATACGGGATTAAAAATTATAATAGTATTGTAATACCATGTACATATTTTTTTTAGAACGATGTTTAAATACTACGATTACATTGAAAATGACTCGATTGGAGTCAAAATGTTTGTTGTCAATTGTAATTGTTTATATGAATTTTTAATGCTAATTTAAATTAAAGTTCTTTGCTACATTATTGACTCTTTGCCCTTCTTTTGTACGACATTGTTTTATACGCACCTTATTACTATTTATTAAATTTATCTTTTAAAACGTATTAATTAATTTTTTTTTTAATATAATGTAACATATTATTAAAATAAGTAATTTTTAGAGTTGAATGTAATTGTTTAGCATATTTTATATTCAAAATTGTATTCTAATATTATACACTCTCTTTCTCCCTCTTAATATCTTCTTTCCTTTTTTCCCCTATTTTGACGTTTTTCCGTTCTCGATAAATATTTTCTTTCTCGATTTCGTTATCTGACATCGTGAAAGTTAGATGTTCGTTACTTCTGCAAATTTGCTTAAAATAAAAAAATCAATATATGTACCACGATATGGATTACCATCTACCTGCGTTTTTTTCTCTCTTTTGATTTATGAACTCTCAACATATGCAGAACAATCATGTTTTGAGGAATATAAAATAAAATCTGTTTGTTTCAGATTTAATACAGCCATTTCCAAATTGCACTTGAGCATAATAAGTTTTAAGGATATATTGTTTGATAAATCTACTATAATATATTTTTCTTGTCGTACTGTATCAAAAATATTTGAGGTTTTTCCTGCATAAGGGCATTTTATCTCTAATAATTTAGGTCTTCGAAAACAATACCATCAGGCAAGTAGTCAATCCAAGGATTTTCGATAGAGATTATCAATTCACATTCGATTACAATAGACTTTGTCATTTCTCTATATTTTTGTCGAGCAAGTAGTTCATTTTCTAGCCCGTGTCTCGCATATTTGTTTGTAAATTCTTTAGAACAGAAAAACTTTAATGATTTTTGCTGCCAATCCGAATTTTTATTTTTTGAATAAGTTAGCAATTGATAACATCTTGATCCTGTGATTATGAATTGACGTTCTTTTTTCCACAAAGGGAATGTTTAATTTTTATGCATTGAACTTCGAATATCCTTCGAATATCCTTATCCACTCGATACATTCTTTCGGTGGTATATCTAAAGACATATTAGATAATTCTAACATTTGTGCTGATGATAAGTTGCCCACAATAGCATTTATTTCAGATAAGATATCTGGCAAAGAAATATTTGTTTGCATCAAGATCTTTCCTTTAGAATTATGTCTTCCATACCTAATTATTAAAAAAATTAATTTAACAAATAAAAATTAAAATGCATAAAATTTATTGGTAAAATATAGTACAAAAATTTAAAAAATACACACATTTTATGAAGTTGTCAACTATAAAAAATAAGATGCATAAGTTTTCCTGTTAAGTGTATAGAATTATAAATTGAAAATACTACTACAAAAATATAAGAGATCTACGACGCACAGTCACATCTAGATAATTAAAATTTAAAAATTAAGAATATATACTGTATTCATAACATCTAACTTCGATATGTACATTTACAATACACTTGTTGTAAACGAATGTTATACATTTACAGTAATTTAGACGGTCCGATCTTATTTCTTATTTTTTAAAAAAGATTTAATTATTTACAATCAATCATTGGTTATATCATCTCAAAAAGATGTCTTACAAATGTGTCACATATGACGATGAAATGATGGATAATTTCGATTTAATAAATGAGCTTTTCTCGCTTTTGATTTTTCAATGTTAAAACATTTATGTTCTGCTAGTGGAGCTGCCTTATAAGTGTCCAATGCCGCCGTATGGGCGAAATTCCACACGCATTTTTTATCAGTACAAGATATTTTATCTAATTTTTCGATGTCTCTCCTGAAATAAAAAAAAATGTTTCATCTATAAGCATAAACGTTAAACTATATTTAAAAAATGATAATTGCAAGAAAACAACGTTAAAATTTGTATACATTTGATTATTTAAGCTTAATAAATTATATACATAATATTATGTACATAATATACATATTATTCACTATATATAACTAATTGTATTGGGTCATCTAAAAAGTATCCGCGGTTTTTGTCACTAGATGATGTTGATGGTCAACATATCTAGTGACAAAAAATCGCGGATACTTTTTAGATGACCCAATAATATACATATATGTATATTGCTTACCGATTGCAAAACAATAACATAGGAACTATGTGCTTGCACTTGACATTTAAACCAGCCTTACATGTACATTCGGCTGAGTTCATCGTTCCGTTTGCATTTATATTGATTTTTACTTGATAAGGTGGATCTCTCATGTTAGAGATTTGTAAGCAGAAATAAAGCAAATTATAGATGTCTTCGGTTTGTTTTGCTATGCCAATAAATAATCACAGTTCAACAAATTTTCACCTCCAATAAAATTACGCGTCGAACATTCCGCGAAGTCACAAATATCTTTTATGCTTAAATACATCTTCAAAATATTTTATACTTGCAAACTATACTTGTCCGTACGAATATAAAATATCAACTGTCCTGCGAGATCGAGCTTTCGATGAAAGAATTCCAACAACGATCGCCAGCCAATCAAATTAGTATCGTTTTTTGAAGGACTATTTAAGCAAAACGGCAGAATTACAATAACAATTAGCTTGAGAACGATACATACAAAACACATTTGAAAGTTCTCCGTGCTAATAAATATTTATTAACATTACAATCCGAAGCGCCACTACGGTCTAAGTATTAAGATGTTGAACTAATATATATATTATTCAAACGAATGAATTAATTTCAGAAATAATAATTACGTGTCGATATGGTTGTCGACATTAACGCAATTAATCTGAAATGTAATAATCCCCCCAAAATTCCCCAAATTAATCTTAAAAAACATATCGACACGTAATTATTATTTCTGAAATTAATTCATTCGTTTGAATAATATATATATATTAGTTCAACATCTTAATACTTAGACTTAATACTTAGAAATAATAATAATAATTACGTGTCGATATGGTTGTCGACATTAACGCAATTAATCTGAAATGTAATAATCCCCCCAAAATTCCCCAAATTAATCTTATAAAACATATCGACACGTAATTATTATTTCTGAAATTAATTCATTCGTTTGAATAATATATATATATTAGTTCAACATCTTAATACTTAGACTTAATACTTAGAAATAATAATAATAATTACGTGTCGATATGGTTGTCGACATTAACGCAATTAATCTGAAATGTAATAATCCCCCCAAAATTCCCCAAATTAATCTTATAAAACATATCGACACGTAATTATTATTTCTGAAATTAATTCATTCGTTTGAATAATATATATATTAGTTCAACATCTTAATACTTAGACCGGAGTGGCGCTTCGGATTGTAATGTTATTTAATATAAACGGTCTTGTTTCCTATCTTATTAAATATTTATTGCAGTGCGCAATCTCTTTTTTCAAGATTATCAAAATTATCAACACCGCGTGTCCAAATTCGTACAGATTAATCTGTGTTATTCTTATTGAGGCGGCCATGTTGGACATATGACGTCACAACCTAAGATCCCAAAAAAATAATTATGTCACGATTAAAGAAAAAATCAAAAACCTTCCATAAACTCTACTTAGTTTTTTCTGTCAGACAATAAAGTCATTAAATAAAATTGTGTCAATTATAATAAAATCAAACTTATCAGTTACATTACTATTGCTCAATTGAACATAAACGCAAACATGAAGTCAACGATAGGTCGAAAAAATAAACATACTATTATTGATAAAAATTGTTATTGGTTATTCTTTTTAGTGATAAAAATGCAAGTGGGCTATGGCAGCTGCCTTACGAGATCTCTAGAGTTCCATTGTCACTCTTTGCTTGTTTCCAAAGTTAAACAATCAAGCCCAGTCCCGTACCATGTACCAGGCTTATAAGGTCGCCTATTTTTGCTCCATCTAAATCTTCGGATGTTAAAAACATGTGATCTCCAGGATCTACATCTCTTGCAGACAAGCAGAGGGCAGGGACACAGATGGTGCACGCTGTCCTCGCATTCCACATAGCTAGCAGTTTTTCTGTCTGACAGATGATGGTGATCCTGATCTTTCTGATGTTGAGTAGGTGTGCTTTGAAAGGCAAGTGTCTTGTAAGAAGGCCTATGCTATCAGCTTTTTTGTTCTAGTTAGATTAGGATGTTTCATTAATTGCTTGGCCGGCCAGTAGCCCTTTGCTTCTCTCCAGGAGTTTAAGTACCCTCGCTCCAGCATTTCTTTGATTTTTCTTTTACTTAGCGTCAAAGGAACCCCGACGGTCTGTTAAGTCGAATCCATTCTTGTCCCTAGCTCGTTCGCCCTCTCGTTGTCAGGCATGCCCTGGTGTCTGTATGGTGTCAGGGACCCATAATAGGGAAACTTGGGTTGTTTCCCCTAATTTGTCAAGAGCTTACATACATTCCCAAACTACAGCCGGTTTTATAGAGGTCTTTGCAAGTGTAGCAATAGTTACTCTGCAAGTACCTCAGCTTAAAAAACTGTGGATAGTTTTCCTATTGGTATACTTTCTTCGTGATTGGCGTTGGAGCCGTAGATGTCTATTCCAAAACGATAATTTGTTTTCGATCTGTGTATCATACGTCTTGGATTAGAAAGACTGGGGAAGACCTTTATTCTGATATCGGCTAGAGAGGACTGGCAAGATCTCAACTTTCTAATTCAAATGTGTCTCCACATTTGGATTAGAAAGTTGCCCAGTCGGTGTTTTTTGGGGATTCTATCTTGCTTCAGTGTGAAGGGAAGTCTATCGGACAGAGTCTGGTTTTCTTCCATTTTCTCTGATATTTCATTCTATATGCTGCTTGTCTTGCTATGCTGATGATCACTAAGTTCAAGGGCAGAGATCTGAATGCCACTTCCAGCGCCTCGGTTGATATGGTTTTCATGCCCCCTGTCGCAGTTTTCAGGTATCCCCTTTGAAGGCTTTTGAGTAGATTCCTTGTTTCCACCTTTTCCACTCTTGACCACTAGACAATCGCAGCATATATTAGTCTTGATAATAGAATCATTTTGTGCTTTTGTGGCAAAGCCACAATGCAACTCTAGGATTTATTCTCTAATTCTTGCCCATGATTCTTTTGCAAGTCCATACGGAGATGTAGAGCGTTTTCCTCTTTTTCTCGAGGTGTGTTTTCCAGCTCAGTTTTAGATCCAGATGTATTCCTAGATACTTTACTGAGCTGGTATAATTTAATTCTTTACCTCAAAGCCTCAAAGGCTCTGGTTTAGACTTGTATTTTCTGGTGAAAACCATAGCCGAGGTCTTTTCTGGATTTGCCATCAGTTTTCTCGTCCTGCATCAGTTTTGCACGATTATCAAGGAACGCATAGCGAAGATCACAAAAAAGTTACCTTTAGAAACTATGGCCACGTTATCTGCATAGACTTGGAAATCAGATTCCTTCAGTTTTATGAGCTAATCCTCTTCCAGGCACTATAGCAGAAGGAGAGAACCCTCCTTTTTTTTCTGTGAATAGCCTGACATCAGATGCCTCTCAATGAGGATATTACCATGACTGACGGTAAATTTTCTGCATGATTTGAGTCTAATTCACAAGTGCACCTGGATTTTGTGTCTTATTATGGCATCTTCCATCGACAAGATTGAAGTGCTATCAAAAGCTCCTTCAATGTCGATGAAGATGCCCAATGCATATTCCTTAGCAGCCAGCTGAGTCTCGACTCCGCTCACTAGGTGATGTAGAGCTATATTCGTTGATCTGCCCTCCCAGTAGGCATATTAAGAGAAGTTTAGCGGCTGAGTGGGAAGGGGAGGTTGTTTTTCAGATTCCTGTCAATCAATCTTTCCAGTGTCTTCAGAATGAAGGATGTGAGACTGACAGGTCTGTAGTTTTTAGCCATGATGTAGCCTTTTCTCTCTGACTTGGGTACAAACACCACTCTAGTGTAAACATCACTCCAGGCGTCCCTTGCGAGACGTGTCTCAGGGCTATGCTAGCCCTAAGTTCCTTTGTCAGAGAGTTCATCAGGGCCCCCCTATATCTTTTCTGAGCAGCACTGAGTAGATGTCGTCCGGCCTCGGCCATTTCAAGAATTCGAAGGTCTTTATGGTCCATTTGACCCTGCTCAATACTATTTTTGCTGTCAATAACTATTTCCTGGGCTTGTGTTGTTTAGCTCCATGGTGAGCACAAGTGTTCTCTTGAAAATCTGGAAAGGGAATAGACATTAGGTATTTAAGAGTTTCCTCTGTTGTTTCGGTGTTGCTTTCCTTTTGGGAGCTTTAAGCAGCTCAAACGGGAAGAGTTGTCTTTGCTGAGGATTTTGTAGCTTGGATGGCTTCAGGAGCATTCTCAATGGTTTCACAAAACTTTCTCCAGCTTTCTTTTAGCGATAGTTACCGCTTTACTATAACAGTGTTGTGTTTGTCTATAAGCTTCTCAGTCTGCTGTTAAGTTTATCCTTCTTGTCTTGTTGAAGAGCTTTCTCACTTCTGACCTGTGTTTCGAGAGCTCTTTGTTGTACCATAACACCTTGGTCGATGAATACTTCGGCCTTTTATAGTAGTTTGCTTCAGGCCTCTATTATTGCGTCACATATTGAGCCGCGAATTCTAAATTCTCTTTGGAGTGAAATCTAATTCGAGCTTTCTTTAGGATGGTCTCAAGGTCCATTCTGTAGCCAATTCTGTCTTCCAGTTTGTTGTTTTGAGGTTTCGCCTTCATTCTAGATTTTCCACATGTCTGAGAGCATATCTTATCTGCTTGTGGTCCGATTCTGATGGTTTTCCGGACACTAGACCGGTGCTCATCATGAATTCATGGAGGCTCTTCTCTTTCGAGTTTTATATTCGAGTTCCTCCGCCTTATATAGTGGAAGTTTTCATCGCAACCCAAAAGGAGTGCGAACTTCCGTTCCTTTGCATAAAGCACCAGCTCTACAACCCTTTTCGATGTTGTTTGGGAGTCATAGAGTATGTACATCGATTATTACGTCCAAGAGATTGTCCTTGTTTTGAACTTTAGTTGTACCACAATCATGTCGCTGTCGCTGAGCTGTGAAGCATAAGAATAGTATTTAGTCCTTTAACCACAATGCTAGTCCTTATCTCGTCTTGAGTGTCTGTTTTGTATATAACTCAGCAGTCGCTCAGTCCCTTGATAGCGTTATTCAGGATCCATAGCTCCTGAATAAGTGTTATTATTGTCTGTATTACAGTCATGCTTCTGGCTAAAATCTAGGCGCCTCACCTAGGCGCCTTTGCTGTGATACAAGTTAATCTGTATCATTGGTATTACGAGGCCCGCGAAGTCTAAGCGACTTTCTTCGTCTCGGTAGTTGTCCGTGCTTTATGTTCTTTGTCGAACAGCTTTATAGATGCTCGACCTAGCTCACAAAAGAGTTTGAAACCGCAGATTTAAGGGCCTTCAGGGAAGAACCGCTGCTCAAGGCAGCGAAGTGGGCTC